TACTATATATATATATATATATATATATATATATATATAAACTAAATTAATTATTTTTTATATTGTGAAACATATTGGTATTTTGAAATCGAAAATAATAAATATATAGATTTTAATTATAATATCTCAAGAAATTAACAAGAAAATGTTAATTAATCAACTTTATTATATTAAAAACAAATTAAACTAGAATCTTTTTCGAAATAAAATAATATATTTCATAATTTTATATACATTTTTTCATTTTTATATTTGTATAAATATGCTATTTATTTATATTATTGTTTAGTTAAAAAAAGAAAAAGAAAAAATGAAAAATTCTATAAAGATTATAAAAGCCTAAAAATTAAATTGAAATTATCGAAGTTATCAGTCATTTATGTTTGTTATTTTTAATTATATTACTAATAATAAATACAAGAAAACATGTAAAAAAAAAAAAATAGAAAGAAGATTTTGTCCAGTGAACTAAAAGGAAAATGAGCCAATCACAGCATAGTAACGGCCAATGAATCGGGAGAGTTCGGCTGAGACGAGGTAAGAACGGTTCATTTCGTGAATCTTTCGCAATTCGCTTCAGTTTGCCGTAGGGGAAGGAACGTTTGTTTCGCGATAGAATGTTTTTTCATGCTGCAGTTTATATCTATCATATATAGGCAGCTTTAGGTGGATTAACATGCGAAATTATTCATTTTTTACCTAGCTGTTGATATATTTCCTATGGAAATATGCATGGTGTATCAAACTTCAATCAGAATCTGTGTTTGACGATGCCGTTTGACAGCTTAACTTTTTTTTAAATTTAAACTCACTTTTTTCGCTTGATATAATTGTTAAAAGAATCCGTAAATTATACGTCGATTGGAATCTACTTGGTCCAAATGGATTGATCTTTTCTCTTAATCAAGGAATTTTGTTCGGTGAGTGTTTACTTTTACTTTTCCATTGAATGATACATACACATGCATACATACCACATACAATGCATACATACACAGTGCATATATACACACATACATACATACAGATACATATATATATATATATATATAATTTATAAAATTTAATGTTGCCTTACATAAATATTTGAGAAAATTCAATGCTTGAATAATATTCCGTTTTTTATTTTACTATTGTTGAGAGATCTTATATAGAGTTCATATAGTAAAAAAAATGAAAAAATATATGGAGTATTTATTTCTTGAATATATTTTTTTCATTCATTATTGAATTTAAATTCCATTGTATTTATCTTATATTAAGTTTTAATTTTTAAATAAAATTTTTTTTTTAAATATTGTTAACTATCTATCATTATTCTCTTTTTAAAATGACTTTAGAAAGTAACATGCGATTTATTTATTTTGATAAGATTTAAACATTCGTATCGAATATTTGAACCTTATTTATATTTTAAAGAAAAAGAAAAATAGGATTTTTAAGAAAGAAAAATAGAACTTAATAATATTTTTAATAATTCTTGAATGATTTCAAATTATGATTATTTTTTTATACAATTGTAAATTGTATAAAATTCAAATTGATTATTGATGATTATTTTTTTTATACAAATGTAAATATTATTAGAAAAATTTTAATGAATCTGAATAATAATAATAATAATGAATTTGAATAAATTATAAATTCTATATAAATTCTCTTGCATATAATAAAAAAAATATTATAATAAAATGATAATATAAATAAATGATTACTTATGAAATAAAATTTTATAAGTAAATTAAAAAAATATTATAAATAATAAGTATTGTACTATTATTATAATATAATTCTTTTTGCTGCAAATACAATAAATATTTTCATATCTATCGAAAAAAATGCAAGCATAATTCTGTATTTCTAATAAAGCATCTAATAAAGCATTTGTTTCTAATAAAAATATTGCTTACGTTGAAAATTTTACTTTTAATAAAACTTTTTATGAACATATGTAAAAGAAGTAAAAATAGAATTAATAGATATAAGTAGATAATAAAACAGGAAGACAATTTCTGTTTAAGAAAATTTATTTTGAAAGAATAACATTAATTTTCAAAATTTATTTTTTCATTTTTTTAAATACAATTTAATATAAAACGTAATCTGAAATATAAAGATTTCTAGTCTATCATTTTATTATTTACAAATTAGAATAATAATTTGAGATAATATATCGAAATAAAATAGTTTTTTTTATTAATTTTGTTATTTTTTTCTTATTTTAATGTTTTTTCGAAATATTTTGTTTTATGTATAATTTATAATTTGTATAGTATTTTTTTTTTCTTTGTTATAGAATTCTATAGTATTTATAAAGGATTTTTTGTTGTCTTTTTATAGTTAAAAATTCTCCATAGTGAACGTCATAGTTGAAAGAGTAGGTGATTACTCAACATTTTAGTAGGCGTTGTATGATTGATTAAATCAATCGTTTAAATTGTTGAAGAAATTTAATCAATTCGAATAAAGCGATTAGATTATTTATAAATTCGAAAAATTTTTGTAATTTGATGGTAAAATTTTTCGATAATATATGCTGCTTTGATATTTACATTTATATTAATATAATATTAATGTTTTTATTTACATTTAAGATTATACTAATAACTTGATCTGATCATTAATCTCAAAACAGTGTGATTTTCTTACATCAAAAATTCTTATATCATAATTTAGAATAAATTTTTGAAACTTTCATTAATTCTCAGAATGCGGATAAGTGCATAAAAATGATCCAAAATATAATAAACTTATTAATTTTTATTATTAGCGTTATCACTGATTGCTAAATCAATAAAATAGGTAAAAATAATTCAGCTATTGAATTAAATATAGGTGCAGAATGACAAATGAATTGTTTTTTTTTCATAAAAAATAATTATCTTTATATTAATTAACGAATAAAACTTATTCATATTATTCTCTTATGATGTTATAATAAAATAAATTAAAATAAATTATATCAAGTAATGAAGAATAAAAAACATTATTATTTTTTATTTGAGATTGTTTTTATAATAAATCTACTAATTAATATTCTGACGAATAAATTAGAAATATTTATCTAACAAATAATAATATATCTAAATAAAATAGATGGAGAATATATACAAGATATATAACTAAACTTGACAAAGTGAAAAATATCTCAAATAAATTTAAAATTATCCATAATCTATTTTTCTAAAATCTAAAATTCAATTAAAATAATATGTTTCGAATTTCATTGTGTGAATCGAATTCTATCTAATGCTTTTATGATTGCTGTTTAGATAAAAATGTAAAAATTTATACATTGAAAGAACTTTTTCAAAAATTTTATGAGCTTGAAATATATTATTAAAAACATATATATAATATAATACATATCTTTATCTAGTTTAACTAATAAAAATGCAATGATATAGGTTAGGTCAGAAAAAATGCAATCGTATATCTGAATGTTAATAACATATTCTTTGGACTTTATTCATGATAAATTTATTCACTTTCTTAACTTTATATATATATAGTCACTTTCATAAAAATCTATTTGTTTAACTGTTTTAATGTGTTCTTCAAAATGTTATTTTGTTAGAAAATGCATCCATTGTAAACTACAGCTGAATCAATCCGGAAACTATAAAATATGAAGTTTTTACTTACATTTAACTATTTTACAATTTTCCAACGATGTGTTTACGATCATAAATCTTTAGAACTTCTGTTATTTTCCTTCCTTCATTCCAATCACGAGTATTTTCAAAGTGAAAAAAAAATACAATTATCATGCGTGAATTCGCGAATTTGTTGAATACACTCGAGAAGTAAAATTCACTGATTCAGATCCTCGTGACCGAAATCGTGATCATTATTTACTACGTATATATTTAAAGTAACAGATTGGTTAAAAATTGACGTTCTATTTGCTTTTTGCGCATTAAAAGAATAAACTTCTGAAGAAATATTGGTTTTAAAAATATCACGATTTCGTCGATATCTTTAATTTCATTTAAATCAAAAAAGAAAAAAAAAATACGTGTACATTAAGAAGCGTAATTTATTTATATAAATTCTTTTATAGAATAATTGTTTTGATTTACATATGCATATATTGTTGGTTTCGATTTAGTAGTACGCTAAATCGATGAATTTTTTTTAACATCAATTACAATAAAAGTACAAGTAAAAGTACTATATAGTGTCATTTAAGAAAACACTGATGAAATGACATTTTTTAAAAAGAAATAGTTTTGAAAAAAATTTCAACTAGGATAGTTTTTTTCTAAGAAGTTTTATGACAGAACCGACAAATAACAGAGGTATGTCTACATTTCTCGTGATTCAGCTTATAGATATATATATATATATATATAAAATTTAAATAATTTACAATTACATAATTTAATATTTATAATTAAATAATTTACAAATTTTTCAATTTTTTAAATAATATTAATATTATAATTTGTATATATTAATCGCTGTCTGCGAGGCGTTATTTAAACTGTATAATGATTTTTTATGAGCGGTATGAATCATTATTCGGGTGCAAAAGGTTAAAAAATATCAGATATCGGTTGTTTAAGTTCTTTAACAAGAATTTCCATTCTAGTATAGATAAAAGTGGAGGATTGGTCGATCTGCTAAAAATATGTCACCAATGTTAAAAGTTATCAGAAATCGAGAATATGGAGCTTAAAGAACTTCCCAAGATTAAAAAATTCGCATTTTTATAAATGATGAATAAGAAAAATTTTACATTAATGAACAACATGTACAAATATCTTGCTTATATATTTCACGGATTTTATGTTATATGATAAAAATCAATATGTATATTTGGTTAGTCAAATGCACAAAATCAAATTTCAACTTAGTTTTGTTTTTATATCAGATGATCATAATGAGATTAAACTTGTATCAAATTGTTATTGAATGGAGAATAATGGTTTAATGTTTGTCTTATGTTTGTGTCTTATATTTGCTATTAAATAAATTGATTTGTTTTAATGCGAAATATGTATGTTATAAATATATAATAATACATGTATTTGAAAGAATGAATATATAAGACAAAATTGGTGGAAATGATTATTCAGAAATTATATATTCTCTTTTAAATGTAATAATAAAAATTTATTGATATATTTTTTCCATAACTCTTTTGATTTTATAACAGTTTTAATACATACTTGACATACTTTCAACTAATCTTAAAGTTTAATCTTGCGAAATTTGATTTCACTATGATTCAACTCAAGCATATATAATTTCAAAGAATTACAAAGAATTACAAGTAACATTTGTCGATCAAAAAATTATAAATTGGAAAATTTGATAAAAAAATGTTTTATTAAAATAATGTAGAAATAGTTAAATTATCATCACGCTGATATAATATTAAATAAGTTATATGTAATCCTTTAGTATGAGATGATACATTGTTCGCTTTGAACCTGCAATCATATTAAAATTAACAGTTCGTGTTCGAATGATTAATTCATGCTCCCTCCATATCTTTCGACAAAAGAAAAGGACTTTGAAACCGTACATGTATACTGATGAGTTGGCAGGCTTACAGTTCGTTATATTACAGTTGCTATACGCATAATAATATGTATACAGGATGTCCGAAAATAGATGGTATAATAATATGTATATGAGACCGATTATTGCAAGAGAAATATAAACTGCTGGAAAAAAAAATCGTTTAAAGTTAATTTTCAAAATCTATGAGAGAAGAAATATATAACAAATATATACATAAATTTTAAGATCTTTATTCTAAACGAAATAAAGAAATTTACCAAAGCTTGATTATAATCAATTATAGAAAATAATAAATTATTAGAATTATTAAGTATTAAAAAATTTGCTAGAATTTTTATTCATATAATTTAATTGTTCATAATTTCTAATTAAAAATAGGGATATAAAA